GTCGCACAGTGGGTTCGTCTTCAACAGTCGAGTCATGCGTCTGAGGCTCATTGGCCATCAGTCGGGCGATGCGGATCTTTCCATGAAAAGACAGCTGCGTTTTGGATGGCATCTCCTTTAGATGCAGCAGGAGTCCATTTGCACTTCTCATAGAGATTGATGGTAGCATCGCATGCATGTTTTTCCATCCTCAACAAGTGTTTCTGCAAAGATAGGAAGTCGTCACTGCGGACGGATATTGAAGAGCACTTGCGCTGCTACATGATATCTTCTTGAACGTTCTCTGCTTAACAAGCTGCAGAACAATTGTTTATCTGGCGGACGATCTCATTGAAGGGTGGCCGTTTGTGGATCTGGTAGAACAGCCGCAAGTAGACATAGACCGAGAGCATCTTTGAGCAATGGCGTTTTCAAAGGCCGCTCGGTTTCCTGGCCGGGAACCACCGTCACCAGGCCCCGCGAGTTACAGCCCAACCATGGGGCGGCCAAGGGTGTTGAGCTACACCTTCGGCCCAGCAAGCCGAAATGCTGAGAAGACGAAGACGAAACTTCGCAGAATCAAAGCAGCCAAGCTGCAATTTGCACAGGAAATCGGACACGGAGGCCTGGCCACCGTCCACGGTGGCCATCTCGGTACCAAGGCAATAGCCTTCAAAGTTGTTCGCTCCCAGCCAGGCTTACTGGCAGACCCCGAGACAGACCGCAGAGCCCTACATGAAGAAGCCATGATGCTGCACCGACTTTCGCATCCCCAGATCGTTGAAGTGATTGGCCTCGTGTCCGAGCAGGGCATCGTCAACGGCTTCGTCATGGAGCGCCTCGGAGAGTCCCTCGAGCAAGCTTCCAGCCGAGGCCATCTGTGCTGGCAACGCCTGGAGAAGGCTTTCGGGCAGATCGTCGAGGCCGGACTAAGAGTGTCACAAGTAGCCGTCTATATCCGTATCCGTGAAGGCGTCGACCCCAACCTCCACCTCCCTGCCCCTTAGGGCCATGGACCACTATCGGCAGAGGTCTAGGGGAGTCCGGTAGGTATCGATGCGATAGATTGGGCTCTCTGTTTGGCGATAAGTCTATGTGTCCACGGAATGTCTCGTGCTGTGTTGCTTGTCTGTTCGTTGTGCCCTTGTGAACCAGATTGAGGGGTGTCTTTTTCGGTGTGTGTGTGTAGGGTGGTTTAGTCTTTTTTTCGTGTTCTTCTACTCGTATACTTGGTAACCTATCTTCCGAGGCGGTCGCGCACATCCACCGTCTCCTGATCGCGCACACCGACCTCAAGCCGGCGAACGCGTGCTTCAAGCGTTACGGGCACTTCCCCGTCGCTTAGTAACTGATTGGGTGCATTTTACACTTGACGTGATGGCATTATCCCCTGTGGAACTGAAAATTTACACTTTTGGGGCTTATGAACTCAGCAGCTAAGGTCAAGCTCATCGACTTCGACTCCGCGCAGCAGCT